AAAGAAATTTAACAACTAACTACTTTTCATCTTGAGCGACAAATTGAAATCAAGTAATTTTTCTTTTAAAAGAAAAAAAGGTTCTTGGCCAAGTAGTTGTCTGGACAGCAAATTTGTTTTCATATGGTTTAGGGTAGCAAACAAAAAAAAAGTATATCTTTTTGTAAAAGCAAAACATCAGCCTTCTTTAGGAGTAGGAACAGAATGATGTACTACTTACATTCAAAAGCTTCTTCTCTGTCGTTGTCTTCATCAGAACTGATTTCAGCATATTTTGGTTTCTCATTAACTGTGCTACGTTTGCGCTTGTTCATTTTCACACGTTCACAAAGCGGCATGGTGGATTCAATTTCTGCCAGGAGCTCAGGAGGCAACTCCTTTAACACTGACTGATCTATGCTACCTATTAACGGAGAGCAAGAAAAGTAAATGTGAATCTGAAGATAATAATAAGGGCCCAACACTACAGTCCTTTCTCAGGAACTTCTTACAGTATATTCACTAATAAATAATACCACAGTTAAATATAGTTGGATGTATTTGACAGCCCTTTCTAAAGTTGCATTTATTGTTCACACTGCAATTAGAAATTAACATAATAAATTGCATACACATCTCCTTCAATAAAATATTTTGTCAGGCATATAAACAAATTCAAATTGGTGAATTTCCTTTGTAAAAAGACATCCTTGCTCTACTTCCACAAAATTTAGTCTTATTTCGGTTCATCCCCTGAATTCAACAGGTTTTCTAATAGTGTAGGTAAATTAAGGATTCCTTATGCCTCATTAACAGTCCTGTTTATTCTCATTCATATTATTTAGTGTACACAAGACAGTAATCTTCCCTTTTCCAGTAGGCAGAGACAATCTGTGGCAGAATCTCTGGGGTCTTATCCCTAAATACAGACCAAATCATTGACATCCCAACCTTTGCCTCAGGTTTTTTTTCCTTACCTCCTGCTAGTGGTTTTATAATGCAATCCAAACTTTTGCTTGATTTTGTTACAAAGCATAGTTGAAAGATTTTTATTTAATATAGACAAACAGCAAGCTAGATCACATCAGGTTCCTTTTCCACAGAGGTAAATAGTTAGACATCATCACACAATTCTCATCACATTTTGAAACTTTGATTAGGCCCATGTGCTGTCAGTATGAAGGAGATTTACAGTCAAAATATTTTAAAAGTGACACAAGGAAACCAAATTAATTCAAAAAGTATTTCTTGGGGTTTTGTTTATTTGATGTCTTATCTTTATTTATCAAAGAACCTATTGCACAGATTTTAAGATTATCGGACTAAACTGTTAACCATTCTCCAACAGAACAAATGCCTTTGTCATAAGTGTCTGTCTCTCCTTCCCAAGGCATACTGTGTTATTTAGAGAGGAAATCACCTGCCAATTGCAACACACACACACACACACACAAATCCTCCAATAAATCATCTTCTGGATGATAATTCACTTTTTAATTGCAATCACTATATCACTAACATAACTTTCTAAAATTTATTTCCATTTTTACATTAATATTCCATCTTCTAATCCAAGCTTAGTCCTCCCCCCCCCAACAACTTTAACTGGAATTAAAAGAGCCTTAATATGAGAAAATAGATTCCAGCAACAAAATTTTAAAAAGTCTCACATATTACTGGTTTCACATATCTCTACATCCATAAAAACTCCCTATAAGCAATGAAACTTGTGATCAGAAAATTATTTTTCTATAAATCTCAGGTATGTTCAGCAAGTCATCCCATTTAAGTGCATTTTTTAAAAAGATTTAACTGAAAATATTGGGTTTTTCAAAATGAGGTAGGGAAATATCTATAAAGTAATACTGATAGCAAAAGTTGTCCCTGCTTCCCCCGTGCTGTGGTCACTGTTATTTATTTGCTTTAAGTTGTCATCCTTTGATAATCACCACCTGCCAAAGTTACCTAAATTCTCAATATTGCTTTCAAAAATGCTAGAAAACATTTCACAGTGTGGTTTACCATGGTGCTGTAAAATGATTATTCTTTGCTGGCTGGGCACTTGATTGAAGATAGCACAGATAGATCAGTTCCTCTGTGTGTACCACCAGCTGACTGAATGCCAGCCAGGTCTAATCTGGATGCTGCATAGCCATGTATGAACAGTGGTGTCCCCACACTAATACTCCATGTCTCTTTGTACGCCTATATGTCTGAAGAGAGTTAGCTTACATTCAGCCCCAGACTAGAGGAAAATTTGCACCTATATGTTTTAAGACAATTTCCACAGGTGAAATCACTAGAGGGCCTCAGATCCTGTTGGGTTTTTTTTTAACACATTCTCAGTTTCACGCACTGTTGGTAATTTCATTGAAATCAATCAGACAACACAGAGAGCATAAAGCCTACAGCAAATCTGGCCAAAGACATTGCATAAAACAGCTGCAAATAAAAGAATAAAAGTTACATTAAGATTCATACAGATGCTTAAAAGCTAGATGGGCTAGATGTGCTTACACTAACGGGAGTATTTTCTAAAAGTATATCTTTAAGCCTCTCCTAGTCTACAATGAAAAGTAAATTTAAAAAAAGAATAACTAGTAAGACAGATTGTTTGGAGAGGAAATCAGAAAAAGAAACAAATCAGTAATGGATTGTATACCTAGCTTGGCAAGAGTTCCATGACCAAATTCTAATTCAATTCAATTTCAAACTCAATTTCAAAACTATGCCTGAATGTTTCATGATGTATTTTTAAGATTTGAATCGTTGATTTGAGGAACTGTTAGAATGGAATTTGTTCTTTATTTTCCTTATACTGTGCACAAAGAACATCTCAGTAAGATGAAAGGTGATATATTTTAAGTAAGAAAACCCTTAAAAAAAAAAAAAACTGAAACAAAACCAAAAACCACAGGCTATTGCTCTCCTACCTCCTAGGAATATCTATTCTTGCTTTCCTTATTGATTTTGCTCCTGGGGTAGAACACTAATCAATCTTTAAAAATAAGTCAATTACCACAGTGTTAATCAGACATCAACAAAAAATAAAAATCCAAGTACTTTAAGTATTTGGAAAAATAACTTTATTTCCTTCTTAAAAGTTCCAAGTTTTCTATGTTCTCCAATGCTAAATTCAACTACCGCTTAAACTGCACTCACTTTCTCCTGTTACAGATATTTCAGATAACAGTATAAGCTTCCCCTTTTTTATTTTATTAGGGAATATGAAAAGCTTTCTTTATTCAAGAAGGGAATAGCAGAAAAGAGAACAAATAGAATTATTGTAAAGTGCTCTATAAGCCATCTATAAAGTTTTTGTTTCTGTCACAATGTTCCCTGGAACAAGTCTGCTGCATGCCCAGTTTCCTTAGTTGCTGAGGATTTTAAATAAACAAATCTAAAAAGAGTTTTACTCATGCAGTACCAAAGGAGTTAAGCATGACTGCACACGTATGAACAATTCTGATATACATGGAAAAGGACTCCCCATCCTTTCTGAAGAAATTCAGGGATATTATATACTGTGGGACTCCAGTCAAGAGCTTGTTAATATTTATTTTACTTTATTACTTATGTTATGTTGAGTCCGGGTAACCCAATCTTCACTAGAAACATCTTACTAAATTCCTTTTTTATAGCTCCATATTTTATAATAAATGTACTATTTATTTGTTCAGGGTAGTAAAGAAATACTTAAGAGAATCCAGTTCACCATAAGAATACAGTCACATGGCAACAAACATTAGGTTATAAAACCCATACTAATGCCTTTTCAGTTTACAGGATACTTTTCAAAAATGTTTAAAAGAATGCAGAACACAAAACCATTTGAAAGCATCTACAAAAACATGTTTGATCACCTTCAGTTTTTCAATTTGTTTGATAAGTTTGCTAAGACCTGGTACCTACTTTCCTGCTTCCACTTCAATCAGTTACATTTGACTCTTAGTTTGCATGGCTTTTTAAATAGCAAAGGAGAAAGTAACATTACTAAAAAGTTACTCCACAAGTTAATAAGATTGCCCTAGTAAACCAAGCTTTCTGAAAAACTGTCCTCATCAACAAAATAATTCAATTTTTCGCAATGCGTGTGATCAGCATATACAGTATGCCTGAAATGGACTATAGGCATCAGTGTCCTTCAGACATCACTTATGTATACTCTCAAAGCTCCCACAACAATTAAAACAAACAAAAAGAACCCATGAGAAAAGTGTCATTGTAACCAAATCTTTGTTCCACTGTAAGGAATCACAATGCTGATAAACTCCACATTAGTGAAACTGAAGGGTGAGTCACAGAGTAGCTGTAAGAACAATTCATCAACAATTAATCTTGAAGAACTGCACACATGAACAAACACTTCTTCAGTGCTTTTCCAAAGCTATGCAATGCTGTTTATGACTTACTAGGTGCTTGCTGGAGGAAGAACATATGCTTGTTTTTGTTTGATTGACATTATCAAAAGGTTTCTTAGAGAAAATATTCGAGAATCTTCAGCTGTTACTGAATACAGAATCACAGAATCACAGAATGGTCAGGGTTGGAAGGGACCTCTGGAGATCATCTAGTCCAACCCCCCTGCCAGAGCAGGGTCACCTACAACAGGTTGCGCAGGACGGCGAGCAGGTGGGTTTGGAATGTCTCCAGAGTGGGAGACTCCACCACCTCTCTGGGCAGCCTGTTCCAGTGCTCCACTACCCTCAAAGTAAAGAAGTTCCTCCTCATGTTAAGATGGAACTTCCTATGTTCAAGTTTATGCCCATTACCCCTCGTCCTATCACTGGGCACCACTGAAAAAAGACTGCTCCCATCCCCCTGGCATCCTCCCATTAAGTATTTGTATGTATTAATAAGATCCCCCCTCAATCTTCTTTTCTCTAGACTAAAGAGACCCAAGTCCCTAAGCCTTTCTCCATAGGAGAGATGTTCCAATCCCCTAATCATCTTCGTTGCCCTTTGCTGGACCCTCTCCAGCAAAGGACAGTTCCCTGTCCTTCTTGAACTGGGGAGCCCAGAACTGGATGCAGTACTCCAGACGCGGCCTCACCAGGGCAGAGTAGAGGGGGAGGATGACCTCCCTCGACCTGCTGGCCACACTCTTCTTGATGCACCCCAGGATGCCATTCGCCTTCTTGGCCGCCAGGGCACATTGCTGGCTCATGGTCATCCTGTTGTCCACCAGGACTCCCAGGTCCCTCTCCACAGAGCTGCTCTCCAGGAGGTCAGCCCCCAACCTGTACTGGTGCATGGGGTTATTCCTCCCCAGGTGCAGTACCCTACACTTACCCTTGTTGAACTTCATAAGGTTTCTTTCTGCCCAACTCTCCAGCCTGGCGAGGTCACGCTGTAAGGCAGCACAGCCTTCTGGCGTGTCAGCCACTCCTCCCAGTTCTGTGTCATCAGCAAACTTGCTGATGG